GTAAGTATCTCTCTCTCTCTTTACTCTCTCTCTCTCTCTCTCTCTCTCTCTCTCTCTCTCTCTCTCTCTCTCTCTCTCCTCTCTCTCTCTCTCTCTCTCTCTCTCTCTCTCTCTCTCTCTCTCTCTCTCTCTCTCTCTCTCGTCTCTCTCATTGCTCTCTCTCCTCATCTCTCTCTCATTGCTGCTCTCTCTCTCTCTCATTAGCTCTCTCTCTCTCTCTCGCTCATTACTCTTCTCTCTCTCTCTCTTCGGTCTCTCTCTCTCATTGCTCTCTCTCTCTCTTCTCTCTCTTCTCTCTCTCACTTGCTCTCTCTCTCTCTCTCATTGTGCTCTTCTCTCTCTCTTTCTCGTCTCTTCGTCTCTCTCATTGCTCTCTCAGCTCTCTCGTCTCTCTCTCTCATTGCTCTCTCTCTCTCTGCTCTCCTCTCTCTCCTCTCTCTCATTGCTCTCTCTTCTCTCTCATTCTCTTCATTTTCTCTCTCTCTCTCTCTCTCTCTCATCTGCTCTCTGCTCTCTCTCTCATTCTTTCTCTCTGTCTCTCTCTCATTGCTCTCTCTCTCTCTCTCTCATTGCTTCTCTCTCTCTCTCTCATTGCTCTCTCTCTCTCTCTCTCATTGCTCTCTCTCTCTCTCATTGCTCTCTCTCTCTCTCTCATTGCTCTCTCTCTCTCATTGCTCTCTCTCTCTCCATGCTCTCTCTCTCTCTCTCTCTCTCTCTCTCGTCTCTCTCTCTCTCTCTCTCTCTCTCTCTCTCTCTCTCTCTCTCCTTCTCTCTTCTCTCCCTCTTTCTCTCTCTTCTTTCTCTTTCTCTTCTCTTTCTCTTTCTCTTCTCTTTCTCTTTCTCTTTTCTCTTTCTCTCTCTCTCTCTCTCTCTCTCTCTCTCTCCCTCTCTCTCTCTCTCGTCTCTCTCCATCTCTCTCTGCTCTCTCTCTCTCTCTCTCTCTCTCTCTCTCTCTCTCTCTCTCTCTAGTGCAATGGCAACGTGGTGGTCCAGAAATCTTGCTGACCTGCATTCGATCCTGCGCGCTTAAAGTGGATGGTAACCCCAACCTTTCCTTGCACACAGGGGGAGATTTAGAAGCAAAACAAAACAGACAGTATGTCACAGCAAAGAATATTCATTGTAAAAAATGGAATTGGAAATCTCTCTCTTCTCTCTTCTCTCTTCTCTCTCTCTCTCTCTCTCATTGATCTCTCTTTCTCTCTCTCATTGCTCTCTCTCTCTCTCTCTCATTGCTTCTTCATCTCTCTCTCTCTCTCTCTGCTCTCTCCTCTCTCTCAATTGCTCTCTCTCTCTCTCATTGCCTCTCTCTCTTCTCTCATTGCTCTCTCTTCTCTCTCTCTCATTGATCTCTCTCTCTCTCTCTCATTGCTCTCTCTCTTCTCTTCTCATTGCTCTCTCTCTTTTCTCTCTCATTGCTCTCCGCTCTCTCTCATTGCTCTTCTTCTCTCGCTCTCTCTCTCTCTCTGCATTGTGCTTCTCTCTCTGTCTCATTGCTCTCTCTCTCTCTCTATCCTCTCTCTCTCTCTCTCATCGCTCTCTCTCTCTCTCTCTCATGCTCTCTCTCTCTCTTCTCTCATTGCTTTTCTCTCCTCTCTCTCTCATTGCTCTCTCTCTCTCTCTCTCATTGCTCTCTCTCTCTCTCTCTCATTGCTCTCTCTCTCTCTCTCTTGCTCTCTCTCTCTCCCATCTCGCTCTCTCTCTCTCTCCTCATCTCTCTCTCTCTCTCTCTCTCTCTCTCTCTCTCTCTCTCTCTCTCTCTCTCTCTCTCTCTCTCTGCTCTCTCTCTCTCTCTCTCTCTCTCTCTCTCTCTTCTCTTTTCTCTTTCTCTTTTCTCTTTCTCTCTCTCCTCTCTCTCTGTCTCTCTCTCTCTCTCTCTCTCTCTCTCTCTCTCTCTCTTCTCTTCTCTCTCCTCTCTCTCTCTTCTCTCTCTCTTCTCTCGTGTCTTCTCTACTAGTGGCAATCCGGAAACGTTGGTGTCCAGAAATCTTGCTGCACCTGCAATTCGGACCCACTGCGCTTAAAGTGATGGTAAACCCAACCTTTCCTTGCACAAACAGGAGAGATTTAGAAGCAAAACAAAACAGACAGTATGTCACAGCAAAGAATTATTCATTGTAAAAAATGGAATTGGAAATCTCTCTCTTCTCCTCTCTCTTCTCTCTCTCTCTCTCTCTCAATGACTCCTCTGCTCTCTTTCTCTCTCTCGATTGCTCCTCTCTCTCTCTCTCATTTGCTCCTCTCTCCGTCTTTCTCATTGCTTGCTCTCTCTCTCTCTCATTGTTCTCTCTCTCTTTCTCATTGCTACTCTTATCTTCTCTCTCTCATTGCTTTCCTCTCTCGTCTTCTCTCTTTCTCTTATATATGCTGTTACTCTCTCTTCAGTGCTCTTCTTCTCTTTCTTCTCATTGACTTTCTCTCTCTCTCTTCTACTCATTGTACTCTCTATCTCTCTCTCTCTCTAATTGCTCTCTCTCTCTCTCTCATCATTGCCTATCTC